GATTACGGCTTAGGTGACTGAAGAGACGCCCGCCACAAGCACCGCCCAACCGCTGCCACAGGTTTAGACGGCGTTGGTCCGCATCAAAGCCAGTGTGCTGGAGAATACATTGGCTGAAATGCTCCAAAACATTCGCCACTGTGTTTTTATGAAAGGTGGCTACATGCTCAGTCAAAATAAAAAGTACCAGAATGTTTTGCTTTTTAATTACAGCGGGAAGAAAGATGTCCGGATAATTTCGTTACACCCTCTGTAATGTTCAAGTGGTTGCTAAATTCGAAATCAGCTCCAAAAACTAGCCTAGAAACATGTTAAACTCGAAAAAGTGAACCGAGGTCATCAAAGGTCATTGAGCTGACCTGACCTTCATGTGACACCCACCCTAATGTATGGGACCAGCATCATATCACATATTTCAACGCTTGAAACCACGTAAAGACTGCAAACGCGCGGCTAATGTGAGCCGACATACGCCGAATCGCGATTCGGGCCAAACATGGCCTCGAGAAATAGGTCACAGGTCAAAGGTCATTTGGGTCAGGGTCATGAAATTTTCAGGCCAGGAGTAAAATTGATAAAATCGGGGGTATTGAAAGTTTCGTCGCGATCGGACGGTTTTTACGCGAGTTACTCACGAAAAACCGATGGGGTCCGCTCAACGCCTCCCCCTATACCGGCGAGGGAAAAGCGCAACCAAAAAGACAAAAATATGCACATGCGATAACCTATACTGCGAAAAAAGGTGCATCATTTTTTAACGTCGCCGACAAATTGTAATTACCCCAAGCTCAGGCGGATGTATGGTAGAAAATACCCCAACTGAAATACACTACGGCGGAAATAAAATACCCTACGGCGGAGCTCGGTTGCAATTTGTAAATACGCATGCTCAGGCGTATTTTGCAAGTAGAGCGCAAGATTTGTCTACAATAAAATTGCTGCCATATTTCCCAACCCCTGAAGTATAAGTAAAGTAATCTTGAAGACCCTTTCGGCACCCTTGAAGACATTCAACAACTCAAAAAGTAGGTACCTACCAGGGGCCCGGGAACGATTTTCAAGTTGGGGGGGGGGGCGAGCCTAAAATGCCTGACATGATGCATATGAAACAGTGGCGTAGCAAGGGGTCTAAGGGGACACGTACCCCCCCCCCCCATCGGGTTCAAAGGGACCTTCGGGTCCGAGGGGCCCTGCGGCGCCATTTGACCGCTGAAGGTCAAACCGCTGACGCCCCATGGGGCTCGTTAGAGCACCTCATGGGCCCTAAATAGCCACACTAAGATCTCCATAAGGGCCCCACGCCGGCTTCCGAGCGCCTCTTGCGCCTTTTCAGGGCACCTCGGTGGTCTCCAAAGGCCCGTTACTGGCCTCTGAGAGTCCTTACCGGCATATGAGGGGCCAGTTCTAGGGGCATTTCCCGCCTGTGATGGTCCCACTTATTTTTCTGAGGGCCCCATAACGGCAACTATGGAGCCCTCATCGGCGCCTATGAGGGCCCACACCGGTGTCTCTGAGGGTTTCACACCCCCAACTCTGAGTGCCTACACCAGTGCCTATTAAAATTAAGCCCTGTATCGGCGGCTCTGAGGACCCAACCAACACCTGTGCATCTGAAGGCCACCCACTGGTGACTTTTGAGGGTCCCACACCGATGAGTCTGAGGGCCCCACCGGCGTCTGACAGTACCATGCCGGTGTCTAAGGACCCCACAGGATTTCTTCTGCCGGCCTAAGGACCCCTTGCTGGTCACTGAGACCCCCTGCCGGCTTGTAGAGAGTTCGCGTCATCATGGCTGTAAAGCCCCCACACCCGTCTGTAACGGGCAACGGCTCCACACCAGCGTCTATGAGGGCCCACAGCAACGCCTGTAAGGACCCTCATCGGCGCCTCTGAGAGAATCACACAGTAGCACCTCTGAGCGCCCACACCGGCACCTGCATGACGGCCCCACACCGGTGCCTCTAAAGGCCCCTTACCGGCGGTTCTGAGCGCCCTACGCCGGTGATTCTGAGGGTGCTGCCGATAACCGAAGGCACCACATAAGCCCTAAGTGTCGCTGAGCTTTAATCCCATAACAGCCCTCTAATGTATCCCATGCATCCCATCCCATACCGAGGGCGCCACGTCAGTGCACTCATTGCCCCACACCCCTCCCTCATACCCAGAGCGGGTAAACTGTGTTATACCTATAGCAACGATTTTACCACCGTTGTACGTTATGCATTTCTCAAAGTTGACTCAAAATGGTCCAGTATAAAACTGGCCTGCCAAGCTTATGGCCAAGGTCAGGCCCAAATCAAAGCGGGATGACAAATACAATAGCAGATGTTGTCAAATCGATACTGGATCAGCAGAAACCATTCAGATGGCAAGGAAAATGCCGTGTGTTGATGTTTAGATGTATAAAGGAAACAAGAAGGAAAGAAGTCCGGAAAAGGGAGGAAAGACCTTTTCTCGCTGCCTCAATGTTGAGGGGGCGCCGCCCCCTCGGCTCCCAAGTTGGGGGGGCAAGCGCCCCCGCTGCCCCCCCTGTTCCCGGGTCTATGGTACCTACCCTACCTACAGGGCTGATGGAGACGAAAACACCACCAGTCGATCTTCCGCTTATAGTTTCACCAGCCGTTTTGAATATAATGACTTCAGGTGACTTCAGTGACCCTGAAAGGCTTACTAGTAACTTGGCGATTTCGTCTACGGCAGCCATTCTTATACCTACCTCGGAAAGCCGCACCGGCTCGATCGTCGATCGAGACGAAAACACCACCGATCGATTCGTCGTATGCGATTTCATTAGTCGTTTTGAAAGTTCTCTATATACCGTGGTTTCAAATATGGTGACCTCGGGTGACCTCGGTAACCTTGACAGGCCTCAGAGGTATATCGAAACGGCTGGTGTAATCGCATACGGCGAATCGACTGGTGGGACATTTTCGTCAACGGCCCAGAAGGTAAGTACTTCATGGCTGGTATCCTGAGCAACCAGAAGGTAGGTACTTACCTACTTCGTGGCTGGTCCTGAGTTATCGAATGGCTGCTATTGGCGAAAACGTTATGTGACCTCCCAAGGTCGGTCCCGTAGCTCAGCCGGTCCCGCGCGTACGTAGCTCAGTGCCGGTCCCGTAGCTCAGTCTGTGGAGTGTTTGACTCCACGTGTTGAGGGCACGCGTTCCCAGTTATAACAGTCCGGGTTCGAAGCGCGACGGGCGCTTGACGTTTATTTATGGGCCTCCGGACAGGTATGGTTGCGGTTGGTGGCAGGCCGAAGCCAGGCGAAGTCAGTGAGGGACCAGCCGCGCGCGGATATGTGCGCACGTTAACTTTGGACTCCAAATGGCGAATTCTGCCATAGAACCGGAATTGCGCGATCGGAGGACGGAGAATAGAGGGCAGGGTGAGCGCAACAAGCTTCGCTTGGCGGGACTCTGTACTTTTGAATCCTTCCATTCAAAAGGTTCGGACTAAATTCATAAAAAGGTGACCGAGGATGTGGGGCTGTGGGCTAGAAAAAAGGTTAGTCCTCAATAGAATGGTTAGTCCGAATCTACCTAATACATATTAGCCGTTTTCACGAAGGCCATCTGGTACACATTTGGTGCACATCTGGTGCAGATTAGGTGCAGATTTGGTCAAATTAGGTTCAGTGTGTCTCTTAGTAGCTATCAGCTAGGGTTGCACTAATTGCTTATATGCCTGGTTTGTCATATTATCAGAGAGTATCATCGATTAAAACACTGAAATGAATTAATAAAATAAAGATATTTGCTGTAAATGAGATTAGGTGCAAATTTGGTCAAATTAGGTGCACTCGCCGGATACCCCGTCGTGAAAACGGCTAATATCAACTTATTCAACATGTCCATATTTTACGATTCTCTGGCAGTTCGGGCTGGGGGCCATTTGAGGCATTTGGTCCCCTTCTGCAGCGGCCGAATTAGGCTAAAACTTTCCGCTTTACTCTAGTGAAAACAAAATTAAAGGAAATAGTTCACTTTTAACATGGGGTTTTGAGCTGGAATAGCAGTTTCGTAGCTTGAGCTGAGACTAGCACAAATCAGGAGCTTTTACGGCTCAACGATCACCCTAGACGAAGATATTCCATTTCTCGTTCCGAAAAGAGTGCCTTGTAGAGGAATGCGTGCCTTGCACAGGAATGCAGCCACGTCATCGTCAGCCAATCAGCGTGCTGCTTACAGCCAATGCAGTATGCGTAGGTTTGAGCTACTCAATATGATTGGTCAATGCGTAATAAGCTTCCGCGTCAAACATTATTTTACATAGAATATAGTTCGTCCTATATTAAAATATAGAAAATAATTGTTTTTACAAAAAGGTTTTATTTTATTTCATGATTATTTTGAGCATAAAAAATCATAAATCAATAGCAAAATACTGATTTCAGGAAAGTGGACTGTTTCCTTTAAGTCTTTTTCTGAGAAAATTATTTTTCTTTAGAAAATTAACCAAGCGCCGCGTACCTTACGAAGTTTTTCTTTAATTGTGACTGAGAGGAGCTTTTATGGGGAGTGTGACCCCGCAGCGTAAAATGGTGCCTTTTGTTGGATTCATTTGTGTGATTGGTATGCTTATTGTTTTCCAATCATCTATATTACTTATTAGCCGTTTTCACGACGGGCTATCTGGCGAATGCACCTAATTTGACCAAATCTCATCTCTTGTACAGCAAATATTTTCATTTTATGATTTTATTTCAGTGTTTTAATCGATGATGCTCTCTGATACTATGACAAAGTAGGCATATAAGCAATAAGTGCAACCCTAACTGATAGATTATAAGAGACACTGAAACTAATTTGACCAAATCTGCACCTAATCTGCACCAGATGTGCATCAAATGTGAACCTACCAGATGGCCGTCGCGTGAAAACGGCTATTGTGTTGTATGGTTTTCGCTTTAATCCAATTTTGTTATTTGTGGCATTTTGGGTTGATCAACACGTCACGTGGCAGTATTTTTAATTGCTAAAATTTATCAAATAGAATTTGCCAAGGAATTTGCCAATGCAGAGCCCCAGCATCACCATGTAGAATAGATGCAAAATTAAGTTGCACACCATGACAACTTTCTGTGATGAGTAGTAGACCGTAAATTAAGCGTTGATATTTGAAGCAGATGGACGATTTTTGGATAATTAACGATAAGTGTGTAGCCAGGAAACGTTTGTTCTAGAGTATACCGTGTAGTCACGTGGCTTTATTTCTATTATAGATACCCCAAAAGTGTCTTTTGAACTATTAATATCGAGTGATAATGAACGGTAAGAGACATCTTCATTGCCCTATTGATTTGATAAATTACCCACTTCGATCAGCGTTTTGCTTGCTTATTAAGCTGCACACAAATCAAATGCAAATTACGTGAACCAAGATTTCGAGGAGACAATAAGATTGTCTACTTTTGATTCAGTAGGTATGCACTAAATGCACGTCGTTGCACCTACAGGTATTCAGTGTCACTGCCCAGGGCTGGAGTCGGCCTGCGATGGAGACAATTCGCCATACAATTCTCAGCCAATGGCCAGCCAGTTTCCCTGTGCCACTGTTCACGACGACCGTGACAAGAAGAAAAAGTCTGGCAGCAGCAAATCATTTCTGCCCTCGTACATTCACGTAAGTAACAGTTACAGATAAGGCAAGGTAGTAAAAAAAAAGATTCCCCCTTAAAATATTACTTGTAACGAAAACTTAACTAAGTTTAACCTAAGTAAAACTGTGAACTAACTAATTTAAAGGATGCTTAGGGTAAGCTAAGATACCATGTTCTACTTAAAAATGTCGTCCTCAAATTAAGGTAACGTTTCAGATTTCTTCAGCAATCTTGTGTGTGGTTTTTGTGCTTTTTTAAATTAGGACTAGGTATTTTGACGACTATTAAGAATTCAAAACTAGCTTAGAACCCATAGCCATTTTTTATAGTAATTACGCGAAATATTACACCGCTATAGTAATATGGCGTGTTCACCAAAACAGTAAATAAGGCGTGTTCATCATCCGTCCTCGCTATGCTCATAACTAACCCATCCGCATGCCTCCTCCCGCTCCCTTTTCGGACTGGCGGTCACCCCACCCCACCTGACAACCGGTGGATGAGGTTGGGTCCACACCGGCCCGTTAAAATCCTCTCCGGGGGACCGGGGAGACCGCTTGAGAGGCGGGGGGGGGGGGGCTGTCCCATCGAGGCAATGTGGTCCCACCTGGACGGTCTCGCTTCCATGGATCACTGTCACAGTCCCGCATAGCCCAATGTCTACGCCCCATCCTATATTATCCCATGCTACGCATTGGTATTTTCAGCCCGAAAGAGCTTGCTCCAAGCGAAACAAATCGAAACCAGAAAGGGCTTGTTGTTATGTCTCGTTCATTTTGATCCTTCACGCTTTGCCATGATTTAACTGTGGCAGTCGCGAGATTATGCTCAACTATCCCAGAGCGCTGAGGGGTCCCCTCGCCCGTCTCGGTCAGGATAAGGAGATAATGGCCAGAATGGTGTATCACGGTCCCCTCCCCCGTTTATCAGGATAAGGAGATAATGGCCAGAATGGTGTCCCACGACTACGGCCGCCAATGGCTGGCAGAGCGGGACGCCTGGTTCGAACAGCACGCCACATCCGACGACAGCCTCCGCACGCGCATGCTGGACAGGTGCCAGAAAACCGAGATCGAGTAAGTGACCAGGCTGAAAAAAACGACTTTACGTACTCGCACAGGTCATGGTCTTGAGGTAGGTTTGCTGAGTAGGTACTGAGCAAATGCCGAGCTTACACCACTTTTACCCTTGTTCCTTTCTTAGCATTTCATTTCTAGCATCCAGAGAAGTATTCTATTAACAGCATTGATCATTTATTTGCCATTTTCAGATATGTGAATGCCCAGAAATGTTACCGTGACCTAAAAGAACAAATTGCAAGAGGACGACTAGCAGGATCAAAAAAGAAGTAAGACCCATTGAACCATGAAGTATATATACATTCGGTCCCCGAATGTACGTGTTTTACTGGAATTAAATTAATGTGTAATGTGTAACCAGCGACATCACTGGAATGTATTTTGCAGCGATAAGACGTCATTATTGACAACACCTATGAGAGCGAATAACTTTTTCAGGTACAAGCATGTCCAAGGGGCTCTCGACACGCATTGGGAGCCGTATCCACCAATCAAGGGATGGAGATGCTGAAGCCTCCGTTCTTACCAGCGCTGGATTAGAATACCTTGATAGGTAAAGCAGGCATTTAGGGATAGCACCGAGCGTATCGTAGCATACCCTACCGAAATATGTTAATTCACGCTGTTAAAATTTGATTTTACTGACGTCATTGAACGCCGTTTAGGTCTTTTAAATGTTATGGGGCATAACATTTTCTGGTAACTTGCGTTAATATGAGCAGATCTAACTGCATGATTCCTTTCCAGGAGAAAAAATGGAACAAAAAGGAGCTTTTCAGTATACTTTACCAGGGTCTCAGAAACTGAAAACCATAGAAGACCGCTACATCTTCAGAATCTGTGTCTCTAAACACATATTGTTAGAAATGAATTCAAAATCAAATGAAATAAAAAAATACATTTATCAAAATTCAACATGTAGTTTATAACATTTAGAAAGTGTGTCTTCTGTCTACTGTGTAGTTGGGTAGGAGCCGAGTCTTCCATCTGTGGCATCTGTGTGCGCCTTTCCGCGGTTCGGCGCGGCGGTTGAGCTGTACCGCACTACAGAGAAGCCTTGCGGCACAGTCTACCCGCCAGGTGGACGGAGCCTGACAGCTTGCCAGTCGGCGGGCGCCTCTTGTCGAACATTTGCTGGCCGCCGTGACTGGTAAGTACGACTGAACCCGAAAGAAGTTATACAACAGAGCTAGGAGAGAGAGCAAGAGATAGAGAGAAAGAGAGAAAGAGAAAGAGGGATAGAGAAGGAAAGATAATGAGAGAGAGAGGGAGAGAGAGAGTGAGAGAGATAGAAAGAGAGAGGGAGAGAGGGGGAGAGAGAGAGGGAGAGAGAGAAGAGAGAGAGAGAGAGAGAGAGAGAGAGAGAGAGAGAGAGAGAGAGAGAGAGAGAGAGAGAGAGAGAGAGAGAGAGAGAGAGAGAGAGAGAGAGAGAGAGAGAGAGAGAGAGAGAGAGAGAGAGAGAGAGAGAGAGAGAGAGAGAGAGAGAGAGAGAGAGAGAGAAATAAAGACTGGGGAGGCGCGCTGGAGGAAAAAAAGAAGAGCTGACGAGTCGGAGTTGGAGTAGGAGCGATTCTGTAGCACATCGGCAGATAGCGACTCTGCCTTTCTGTTTCCATGTCCTCGAAATTATGGAGGTCTGCACTACAAGGGAGGTTGAAACCAACTTCTGTGACTTTCCAGATGTGCTTGCCACGACTGCCTCCTCCCAGTAGTTTCACCGGAGCCGCTATCGCAGGACTAATTAGACACCGGCGTCCTCGCCCCCCCCCCCCTCGGCCCCCTGCCGGCTATCCCGCTGTGACGTCGGGGTAAAGCAGGGCGACTTCTGATCCTTCCAGGTATCAGCGGTCACTCCCTGGTCACTAATCCCCCTCCTTGGGTCGGGCGGCCGGCGTCGCTCGCGCGTTATCAGTACCCGAAGGGTTTTGAATACGCTGGTCTGAAAGTAGTCCACCCTATACTGGTCGCTTATTTTAAAAAATGGTATGCATCCGCCAAAAGCGTCTGGAGGATCAGGAGCGTCCTCTCGGTCAGCCAGTAGCGTCTCGACCGTGACAGGGAGTGGAGTGCGTCGTCGAGTTGTAGGAAAATCGGCAGAGCCTCAGCCGACCGGTGCCGGGAGACCGCACGCTGCGCAGTCATGGAGCTGGATATTGAGTTCGACATCGAGGAGCTCATGCAGGTATGTCTAAGCGATCGGCCAGGTAGTGGAGTGAGTAGGCTACATTCATACATTGTAAGATACATAGGCTCTTTCAGCTGATTCGACAATCACCGCTCCTGTCAGGAGTCTACTGCCTGCACGTCACTCAAATTGGTTTCATTTTAAGTTGTTTGTCATTTAAAGTCGGCTATTTACAGGCAGCGTGTTTCCAACATCTGAAATGACATACTTGACTAGCTGACTCTTTAAGTTCCTTGTGCATGGGAGGAAGCAGCTCACTGACCCGCGTTGACCGTTCGTTTCAGGATGCCGAGAGTCTGGGAATCGGCCTGGAGTACGCTCGGAACGCCATGGCAGATTTAGAGACAGGTTAGTGACGCAATGCCGTGGCGAGAAATTTAGGGTGGTCTGAGTTATGGTTGTTCACAGCATTGCATTATATTAGGTACCATAAGAATCAATCGTCTTGGACCACATAACGGTTATGCAGTAATATGTTATGAGATGTGATTGTATATTACTGATTAGTTTGTTTGGGCTGAAAATGTAAGTTTTTTTTTTAAATAATGGGTTATAACACTGATCATCTACAATTTATGTCTTTCTAACCGACGCCTGCCTCCCCGTTCCTCAGAGCGCGAGCAGCCGCCGGCCGGTCCAGCCGCCGCCGCCAGACCGGGTCCTGCCGCCGCCGTCCAGCTCGGCCCGGCTGCGTATTCGCAAATAGTATTACACGAATCGGCCCGACCAATAGCGTGCCTCTTGAGTGACGTCAGCGTGGCGTCATACGTTCGGTCCTCGCCCTTGGTGGAGTCTATTGAAGCTAAGTTTTAACTTAAAGACATTTAAACTCAACGTACGTGTTGCCGCCATGGCACAGTGGTTAGAGTATCGGAATGGTGAGATGGAGGTAGGTGGTTCGAATCCACTCGGCGACATCAATTTTCGTGTTATCTGTCATTGTGCGTTTTTTTGGATACATTTGCAACGGCGTGCACCTAAGAAATCAGAGGTAGGGGAGAGCGGGGAGAGTTGTATCATGTCCAAGTTGTATCAGGGCGAATTGTGCCAAACTTATCCAATGGATGGCGCTCGCGACACGACCAGCCGACGAGGTTTTCCGGGCGCCATCTTTCCCTGTTCTGTCTTGTGGCTGAGTGGACGCGTCTCGAGGTGAGAGCCGATTTTATGTTTTTTTAATGTCATTCTAAAAAAATAAGTTGCAAGAAAATGTGTGTTTTGGGCATTTAGATGTGCACGAATTTGAAAGATCTCCGTAGCGGTGGTGAGGGTAGGTGCTAAGGCTGCGTGAGTGAAAACGGATTTCTCCAGCTGTCCGCTGTTTTTTGAGCACGAGGATGTTTTTTCCAAGATGGCGGCTAGGTACATGTTGTATCAGAGCCGGGTGGGGTAGGTTGTAACATGTATGTATGTATGTATGTATGGGTATGTTGCTTTTGATCGCGAAAGCTAAGCCGTGGCTCGCGTTTGTAGGTAGCTAGCCAATGCTCGTTCCATTTCGGCACAAAGTGTTGGCTTCTTTGCTCTTAACGGGCCACTTTTGCGTCTAGTCTGTTGATGTTTCGTTCAGATTGCATTGACCTAAGTTTGGTCTAATAAAGTGAAGCCTTTGAGCATACCTATACATTGTATTAACCCCATTTAATGTTGTTGTTATGTTCAAAACCAGTAGCAAGCACACTCCCTGAAACGTGAAATAGTGATACAAATTACCCCACCATGTGATACAACTCACCCAAGCCATGGGGTAAGTTGTATCAAAAACATTGTTCTATTCGGCAGACCGTAGAAGAAAAACTGGTAGAGGTAGCGGAAAAGTTACTTTGCACAAAAAAGCAGAAGAATCAAGGAAGGGGATGGTATGGAAATTATGAGTTTATCACGGATAGTTACGAGGTTATGGGTCTCGGAGTAAAAACTGATACAACCCACCCCACTCTCCCCTAAGCATTCTTCAAATGAATATGTTGCATACCTAAGAGAAATATTTGCAGTCCAACCGATTGGTTCGGTTTCGGTATTTTCCAATGGTTTTTGTTTGAATTTGGTTTGGTATCGGTGACCGGTGTTCTGATTTTCTGTGATTGACAATTGACATCACTAATGCATAGTGCATACTATGCGAACGTAGCCAATGGAAAGACAAATGGTGCTGGGCGATGACCATTGATCAATATTTCTCACTGCCAATGGGTGATAGCACCGAGCACGCAGCTCCTGCTGGATATGACAGGGGTGGCGCTGACCTTTTGAAAGTAGGCGGCACTTGGCAAGGTAAAGTACCTAAAAGTAGCGAAAACTAAGCTAAAAATCGCACGCTGGTTAGCATGCAATTAGATAGTTTTCATGTAAGAATCACCATGCACAAAAAAGTTGGGCATAGCTGTTAGCGTAATCAGGGGACGAGATTATCAGTTTCCAGCTCCGTCAAAGGCGTCATCTATAGGAGCTATGCCTTAACTATAACTTTAACATTTCTGCCACCAGGGGATCGACAGTATCGACAGTACCGTAACACAATTGGTATTTCAGGTACAGACTGCAACTGCAGTTCTTTTGCAACTTATTCCTTAATCAGATGAATACTTGTCATAGATTTATTGGGCGTACGATATTGGCGTGCGAACTTAGGGCCTAGGGGCCAAAAATGCGTGTCTAAAACCGACTTCTTAGAAAAGAACCGCTAAAGCAGGAATCGATCCCTCGATCTTTCGCTCATCACACCGAGACTCTAACCACTCGGCTACGACGACACACTGTCAATTGAATTGCCATATACAATTAACAAAAGTCTCAACTCAAATCTGGCCTCAATGCATGATTGTCACGCCGGATGGCTATGACGTCGCACTAGAGATGTCGCTAGTTGGTGGGCCGATTCGTGTAATACTATTGGCGAATACGCGGCCCGGCTCCGGCCGCCGCCCCGAGACCGCCGCCGTCGGCGGCAGCTGCCGCTCCCCGCCGGCCGCAGCTGCCGCAGCTCAGCTGGTCGGAGCTGCACGAGCTGATCGGGGACGCCACGTCCCGACTGAAGCTGCGCTGGGAGCTGCCGATGCGGCGGGTCACCCTGCTGAGGGAGGCGCGACGCGCCGCCCGCCGCTCTCTGCAGGTGGGTCAACACGGGACAGACCGTCTCAGGGTAGTTCAGGAGCGAGACGTGGTTCTGGAGACACCTGTCGATGATGGCTGTCTGCTTCAACCCATGGAAGTGAATGTTCATATTAATTTTTATATTACATTAATTCCAGAGCACACGATGTATGCATTTTTGGCTTAAATTCAGTCCGATTTTCTTGTGCATGCAGCGTCAGATAATCACCGTTTAATTCATATACGCCGTTGTAACTTTATTGTTCGAATGATCGACGCAAAAAGGAAATATAATGAAAATAATCGTAACAACCTTATTGCTTTACAAAATATGTGAATAAATTAAATAATTTAAGCCTAATTTAACATTAAATTCTAATTTCCATTTCATACTGAACTATAGGCCTATATGAAATGCTCATTATCATTTTCCATAAACGGCTAAATGATAATGTCTCGCAGTGTTTTATTGACAATCATCTCCTTAATTACGCGATTAAATACGGGGTAGTTGTTGCGATTCCAAGTTAAAGAACGTATAAATACACCAGGCGGATGTATTTCTGATCAACAAAACCCAGACAAACAAGATGATCACTTGCCAAAAACCCCGGCTATGAGGGACTCGATATGAACA